TGCTGGACGTATATTATAGCTTGGTCTACAGCCATTTAAGCTACAATGTGGTCCTTTGGGGATATATAACAAAGATAGGGTTTTTATTTCCCAAAATAAAATTATCAGAAAACTATTTGATATCCCATGGAGAGAATCGTGCAAACAGCACTTCACATCATATCAAATCCTGCCATTCCCTTGTATTTACATATTTAAATCCACGATAATTTAACAAAATATAACACAAATTCTTCTTACCACAGTTACTCAACCAGAAATGGAGAATTGTTAAGTATTCCTAGACACAGATCCTTTAAATTTGAACAGTCACCCAAATATATGGGAATAAAATTATTCAGTCACCTACCTGATCACTTTAAAACCATGAGTTTGATGTCATTTAAAAGAGAAGTTAAAAATTTGCTCCTGTCTAAGGCTTATTACAGTGTCAGTGAATTCCTTTTAGACGACTTTAGCTGATCGCGGTCCAGACTTTCATCCAGATTTTATTATACATCCAATTTTGACTAATCTTGTTTTTTTTTCTTTATAATTTATACATTTTCATACTTTAAAACTACTGAGATATTTTATCTTTATGTATGTTTATTTTCTTTATACTATTTTAACGTGTTGTACTGACATGTCCTATACGTTGTTAACGTCTCAAAGGATAAATAAATATTATTATTATAGTATTCACAGTTGTCCAGGCAGGAATTCCCCATTCTGTTTCAATCGTGTTGATTAGCTGCTGCTTCTAAGGGGTTTTGGTGGGGTGTGACATGATACCGGTAATAGCAATTTCTTAATAACCACTAAATGTAGCATTTGATTTTTCTAGTGATTCCGAACACAAAAGTTCATTCATTCGTTACGAATGATGTTGCATTTAGTGGCTTTGAATACCTTAAATTTTGTGACTTCAAAGTTGGATTTGATAGCTCGTCAAAAATATTACATAGCCACCGAATGGCACCTTTTGGTTTGGAGCCACCTAATGAAAATTTTGCTATTCAGAGATATTGAGTGCAAATTTATTTGAGAGTCTCTATGAACAATTGTCTGCACGAGGAAAAGCAATATTTTCAGTACATGGAAAATAACGTTTGGTATTAGATGTGAAAAAAATTCAGAAACGAGTCTTTGATGCAATATGTTTGTGCTAAACCACCAAATAATGTACTACTGTCTTTCAAGCGATTGAAACACAAAAGTAATCAAATCAGTATATTGAGAGTGTAATGAAGAGATACATAGCCAAGAAAATGATTATTTCAGAATAAAATTGCATTCAGTGGCTCTGAATAGCGACATCTTCATGTGGTGGCTTAGCACAAGTTGCTTTTGTACAAATAATTCATAGTCGTATAATGCAACAAACAAATTGTCTATCTTGGTGGAAAAAGTCCATTTGGCCATATATATGAAGAGTCCTTCCTACAAAAAGATCTCTGTGCTGTGTACTTCATTATTCAATTCGGCGGAATTTGTTTTTAATCAAACCGTAATATTTGTTTTAGGTCAACAAAGTCCAGTTAGCAGTGAATCTGCTACGACAGCACGAGCATCCAGCGTGGGGGATACTCATGTACTGTCCAAAAACATTAGTAATACACTGAGGCGTGATCATGTATATAGGTGAGAAACTAACATTGGAAATTTTTTGATTCTGAAAATTACAACATTGCATACATTCTTATGTATTGTTTAATTTTTGTATAGATCTTCTGATGAAGAAGAAATGAATGCCAGCCCTACAAACGACAATGTGATGTTTAAGGAGAAGAAAGACTACCTAAATTTAGGATTCTCCTTTGATCATTCCCCAGTCGAAACAACGACCGAACTGTAGATATTTTAAAATTTTGTATAGTAACAAAGTATATTTATGGTATTTTCAAGATGAGACTTTGAGGTTTAGGTTAATTTTGTAATAAATTTTATCATATTTTTAGTTCTCTTTCATTTCGCTACCCTTTCCGTTCTCATTTTTCAAAACTACAAATACAAATTCACTATATCTGATACAACCTTAGGGTTCGAAACTGCCGAACGCGACTTTTGAATTTGGTTCCACCGAATGAAAATTTTGACTTCAAAAACACTAATTTCAACTTTTTACTTCGGAACCACCGAATTCAATTTTCACATTCGTGAAACCAAATTCAATTGTGTGCGGAGCCATCAAACGCAACTTTTTAGTTCGAGATCATTGAAGACAACCGAATGTACCTGTTGGTTTCGAAGCCACCGAATGCAACCATTGTATTCAGTGCCNCTCAGAAATGACCTTCACTTTATAGAGTAGGATTTCAAGTGATAAGTCTTGTTAATTTTTCATTGACTTATTTTTTGCAAAACCTTAAAAACTGTGAAAATAATACATTATGTTTATCATATAATTCAAATTTGAAAACTATTCCACAACACAGAAGAACAACGACTATCACCAACAATGTCGAAATGAACTTCAACTACCCAACATTTCGTTTGCTACAGACACCTTCAGTGGTGTAGGAAGACGTCGATTGTCTTGGTGTCGGCAACGAATATTCAGCAGTCTCCATAACAGAAATCAAAACAAGAAACT